CCCCAAAACCCCAAAACCCCAAAACCCCAAAACCCCTCTCGGCAGGATCAAAATTGAATAATTGTGAAACATATTTTAAGAGTATATGAAACCTGCAAAAGCAAGCCTTTTACTTTTATTCTTCATGGTCTTCATGCCTTCTTTCCGGGACACTTTGACTAAGTCATCACTGATCTTGAAAACTTCTGATATGTCTTCACAGCCATCTGGCAACAAATGAGGCTGAGAGGTAGCATCTTGCTCAATGAATTCGAAATTGTTTAACGACATCTTAGCATTGATTGTGTATCCAAAAGGAATCGATATCTTTACAGGAAACCCATTTTCCTGTAAACTGGTATTTATCTCTTCATGCTGAAGAAAGTCGTACAACTTTTGGATCCCGATGCTCCCTCCATTTTGTAGAGTTTCGAGAATACTAAAGAACTGCCGGGAGGTTAAATCAAAGTTTGGATCAAGCCAGAAATAAGCACTTCGCTTTTCTGTCTTGTTCTGAACCTTTGGCTCTCGTATCTCAAGATCTGGATTTTGTTGTAAGACTCTGTTCACATGATCTTCTTGAGTTATTTTAGTATCAAAATATTCGTCTTCAATCCACTGAAAGATATCTGTTCCTTTATTTTCTAACCTCTTTTTACTTTCAAAGGCGAGTTTGAATTCAGAGCATTTAGAGCCGTTGAGTTTTGAGGTTTTCTGGCTTCCCCACATATTAGTTACTGGCCTGAATTCTAAGTTAGACATCTCAATATCAGCTTTGACTGATTCTGAGTTCATGATATCTTGAAGAACAGCTACCTTCTCCTCGTAATCTTGGTCTTCAATAGGATCAACAACGATACCTTTATCCTTATTAAGTAGGAGAACATAGCAGTCCTTATAAGGGTCGTCTGCGCTAGGTGCATCTCTGAAGATGATGCTCATGTCTCTTCGTTTGCCCTTTAGCTTCTCAATCCCAACCAGGGTGAAGTCCAGCCGCAAGCTGCTTCCATATTTCCATATTTTGTATGTATCTTTTGGAGTAAATTTAGAGAAAAATGGGATAACCGTACTGTTAAACTCCCATTTTAATTCCATGTAAAAGTCAGGAATACTCTTGAGATTATTAATAATTTGTTGACGTTCTGCAATCTGGCTCTTCTTCCTCTTAACTCAGAAGTCATAGATGATTTCTAGTAGCCGAATATTGGAATTGTTGATAGCCTCGTCAGTCATCTCCCAGCCATCGCTATCTTTCTCTTTATGATTGCCTCCGATTTCGAGTAAATATTCAGTGATGAGGAGATACTCTTCGTCTAGCTTACTAAGCTTAGCTGCTAGATGCAACGGGTTATTGCCTCTATGATCTTTCTTGATTAAATCCTTTTGTGTGATAAAGCCATGCTCATACCTAGATTTTACCGTGAATTTCTTACTGTTGAGAGATCCCGTCAAAATCCTTTCTGAAAACAAGAAGGGAAAGGTTCCGCTTAAAAATTTTCCCTGTAGAACTATCTTGTGTAAGCTCATGGTTTTCATATGAGTCAATTTCGAGGATGGATTCATCCCTTTGCTTTATTTTCCCTTGCTTTTCTTCCTCTTCATCATCAGAGGAGAATGTGAAGTTGTATTTCCTAAGGTTATTAAGCCACTGTGAATCAAAGTGTGCTACCACAAGAGGTACTTACCTCTTCTTAGTGGGTTCAAGTCTGCTATGACCCTTCATTCCTTGTCTTGCCTTACGACTCTTTCTTTGCATTTTCTAAATTGGTTTGAAGATGATTAATACTTTGCGATGGCTCTCTCTCATGACCGAGTTCTGGATCATTGCCTCTTCCACCTGGTATTTATTTGATATTTATTTTGTTGGTATTGCCTTCTGATGTGACCAAAGCACCTGAGTTTCTAGAGGTATCTTCTTCATTATCCGAGGAATCACTGCTATATTCCATGTGAGAAGCATTCTCCTTAGGCTTATTGTTTCCTCCAGTAATTTTTCTTGTATATGGAGCAATTGATTTATGGCAATTTATTGCTGAAAACTTTTCATTGTGGTGCTCGTTAGTATCTATAAACCTAACAAAAATGTATCTTACCTTCATCACTATCGTTACGATCACTATAATACTCCTCATCAGAATTGAAATTCTTTCTTGAATTTCGCTTTAATTTTCGATTTTTCCTCTGTCTTTTCGAACTGTTCTGAGATTTTGATTTATAAACTTTGTTTTTCTTCTTGTCAAAAGCTACCACTTGTTCAAGAGTGCTCTCATACAGAGATTCTCCGTCACTAGAACTTGCTGAAATCGATTCCATTTTGAAAATTTTTAACTAAATTTCAAGAATTGTTAAAATTTAGGGGTTTTGGGGTTTTGGGGTTTTGGGGTTTTGGGG